AGAATAACATAACTCTACTTCATACTACAGAAAATGCAATTGAAGATAAAGAATTTGATAACTCAATATAATCCCATGCTAACAACATAATTAGCAACACATTATTAGGAAAACTGTATTTGGAACAAATGATCTTTGTACCTTTTTTGAAATGAATGTAAATTTAAGTGACTGAATTTCCGTGAGAAAGAATTATACACACGAATTGCGTTGAGTGTGAAAGATCTACGAAACAAGGCACCTGTACCTAACATTCACAGAATGGATAGTACTCCTAGGAGTAAGCCGGTCTCTCAGCAAAGTGGGTGAATCGAGGTTATGGATAATTGTCATAACGAATATGTTGAAATGAATAGCTCTTCCTTGTTCCATTTTAAGCCAATTATGTTGACGATATGCAGCAGATACATAGTCATATTTTCGAAGACCCATAATAAAACGAACACAAGCATTCTGCAACCTTTGAATATGGCACTTACACTCGTTATCAATAAAAAAACCATACATATTCAGTAGCTAAAATGTGAGAGAACAAGTCAATCACATAATTGTTGTTGTATTTTTTAAATATTCACGACATCTTAGATCCCAATCTATGATCACCCCCAAATTTTTTGTTGAATCGAAAATGAAAGTTTAAAATTATCTAACATGATATTAATTTTTTGTTTGTTTTGTTTTGTTTAGCTTTAAATTATGTTAAAGTTCACTAATCCTGTAAATACCTCTGCAAAAAAAAAAATAACGGCCCCAAAATGGAACCTTGCAGCACCCCAGAGAAAATTTCAATTTCTTTCGAATATCTGCTATCAGAGTATATTTTCTGATATCGATCTGAAAAATACGATTTAATCATCTCGTGTGAATTAACCGCAAACCCATAGAAATTCAGCTTGGAAATTAATAGGTCATGGTTCACCGTATCGAATGCCTTCGAAAAATCCAAAAGTATTAAGGCACTCATTAGTTTTTTGTCAGTGGCTCGGACAATATCATCAATGACACTTATAAGAGCATTCGCAGTACTCGACTTTCGTTTAAAACCGCACTGACTTTGTGGTACTATTCTATTATCCATTATATATGTATACATTTGATTATAAAGAACTTTTTCGTATATTTTTGATAGTGCCGGTAATGTACTTATTGTTCTTACGTCATTGAAACTTGTCGGGGCATTATTTTTAGCTAATGGTTTTCCAAGTGACATTTTCCAACTTTTTGGAAAATAGTTTATCTCTATGGAAGAATTAATAATGTGAATGACATACTTATCAATGTAAGCACTGCAGTATTTAAGCATAAGTGGAGAGATTTCGTCAACCCCAGTGGCATTTGTTTTAATTTCATGAATAGTAGAGCACCATTAAAACAATTGTCTTGATAATATTGTATTTTATCATTGCAGTTTGGTTTGTTTAGAAGTAACTGCGAAAAAATCGTATTAATTAAACTAAATCTTTGTAAAGCTGAATCTCTCTGCTTCATAAATATTGTAACATTTTCCGTCAACCAGGAAGCCTTTGGTTTACTTATACGTGACTCTTTAATTGGAGCATGTGCATCAAATAATATTAACAGTAAATTATTAAGCATTGTAATTTTCTCATCAATATTGTTTTCATAGATGCTATTGTCCCACGGTAAGTTGCACATATCATGTTGAAAATTGTTGACGTTAAAGTTTCTAAAAACGATACTTTAGAATCATGGGTTCAATAGGCTTTTTAAAGAAATCCAAATTGCAATAAATTAATTTATGGTCGGAAATGTGATGTGTATCTAAAGCGGCAGATTCGTTAGCAAGAAATCGCTTATTAACAAAAATCACATCAATGAACGTAGTATTAGTTGCTGTAATTCTTGTGGGTTCGTTTATAACTTGATAAAGATTGTAATTTTCAAATAAGAGTACTAGTAGATTATCGTGAGATAAAAGATTGACATTAAAGTTGCCGAGACAAATAGTGTCATCAACGGTGGGATAAGCATGGGAAAACATATTGTCTAAATCACCCAAAGCAGCGTTTAAATTAATATTGGGTGGCCTATGGAAACAAGAAAATGCGTTTTTTTTCCTTTTATGCAAATTTTTAAGATTAAGAATTCTAATCCACTATTTACATTAAAATTATGATTAATAACTTCTACATTTAAATGACTTTGAACATATGCAGTACTAAAAAAAAAAGAAATATGTGTAACCAATTACAATAAGTTATTACACAATAAATATTCAACTCAAGATAGACCAAATAAATATTGAGGGATAAGTAACAAAACAATAATGTTCTAAACGTATATAACAAATAATATTTGATGCTCTTTAGACAAAAGAGAGAAGAAAAAAAAAGAAACAATATACTAGGCATTGGCTAAGGATGCGACGCGACTTGTAAAAAAAAGGATGTGAAGTGTAAGAATGTCACTTACGTTATCACAATAATAATTCACCAGTGATACCCCAAAACACATAATATGTATATAAAGTACTCACGTCAAATTTAAAGTTGTAGACTATATTCAATCCCTTTTCAAAATAACATCGAGATCACCAACTGCAGTCACCATATGCACAACACCACTAACTTTTACATAGATATTCCCGTTTAATCTCTGGTTCGTTTCGACATAGAATGCCTCTTTACTAAAATCCCCGTTCCTAAACTTGACCAATATTTCAGATATATTAAAATCCGAGAATATAGATCCAAATCTTGACATCTTGAATAAAAAATGCCTGTCTAGAACATATTTTTCTTGTAAATGTCAGATTTATGAACGTTATCACCAGTCATCGTGAATATATTTATGGAAGCCTGTTTAAAGAAAATCCATCTATCTAAAATCACAATTATGGAAACCCCACGTTATTTATACTTTTGTTATTTGGCCTCATGGTCAAGAATCCCTCCGAGATCTTCTTAGCCACTTAAATTGTATATTCCCATACGTTTTACCATTGACTTAGAAACTAATAATGATATCCCACTCTTATATATTCATATCAATAGAAAATCACACCTAACATTGGGTTATTCTGTTTACAGAAAACCTACACATACAGATCGATAACTTAATTCATGTTAAAACAAAAAGCATAAAACTACCAATTTAATTAATGATCATGATCAATTAATGCGCTCAAGATATAGCATATATTGGAACCTACCTAAGAGTTCTATGAGGTTGAGGTCTGAACTGCGAGGAGGCCCATCTAAGGTCCCAATATTCACTTCGTCTAAATAATTTTGTACTACTCTAGCAGTATGTGGTCTAACATTATAAAAATCCTTTTCAAATCTGGCAAATTTATTAGTTTGACGTTGAATTCCGTATTTCATTCAATTTAATAGTGTTGAGGGAAATTTCCACAAAATGTTACAAACATTGAGTATAAAACTGGTATTTTATAAAACACTCCGCAACAACACAACTCTCAAACTTAAATTCAAAAGAATTGTTTTCCGTCATTTCTGATCTCCTTTCCAAGCATGATAGCGGGTTTGACACTTACGTAGATTTGGTTAATATTTTTAAATCATGGTCAATCCTTTGAGGTCTTGGTTCATTCAGGAATACCTCAGGTGTTAATACTGGGTCCAATACTGTTTAACTGTTTAATTAATATTGTGCTTTACATTCTCGCTAATTAATACTCCACTAAATGCCTATGATAGTAAATTAGTGATAGTAAAACGATAGATATTTCTATTACGCTTTCCTACTAGGAATATCCACAAGATTCAAAAATTCGCATTGAGAAAAATAAATTTCTTTTGTTTTGTAGATGCTAGTTCCAGTGCAAAAACTTGGTTTGCTTGAACTACTCTTTTGTGTGCAAATTTGATATCCTATTTTAATAAAAAAATAGCTTATTTTCTCTTATGCAGCTCTTCGCTTATTTTCATAAAGATACCAGAGGAGTATTGTCTTAATAACCCAGAACTCACCACATGGAAGTAGTTGCAAATCGAGTTCCACCACCCGCCCACCCTTTTTTCATTTTTTTTAATAGTCAATTTTCTTGTAAAACTTGGCGGTACTGGTCTTTTGTCTCAAATTTTGGTAGTGCGGCTCTAGAAGCGATTCTAGATCTTATGAACCCGTCTCTTGCGTCATAGCCACATACCGCTGCTGATGCTTCTGTAACCATTTTAACAATGGCGGCTCTGAAATGGTTAATGATTGCCAGTTAATTAAATCAAAGTAGTCATTTGCATTAAAATTGAATTTGGGAATTTCAAATTGACGTACTTATTTTTTTATATTGTTTGGCTTCTCTGTATTTTAGTATTCTTCGAAGACCCCATTTGCGAATATGTTTTCTATCATCAGCTAACATTGCCAATAATAAATTTTCAGGGTGACCGAAGTATCCCTTTCTTTGTAGCACTACCACCTTTTTTAGTTCATCAGGCAAAAAATCTACTTTTATTTATTAAGCTAAACAAATGGTAACTACTAGGTAGTTGAAACCCGGCTCTGAAACTAAAACGATATGTTCTTCCGTAATTGTCTTTCTTGGGAGAATATTTCCTTGTTGTACTTGAACTAAAGTTCGATCTTTTCTTCCATCAAAATACACTCCGTAAACGTAGGTTAATTTTTCTTTATCGTTTCTTTTTATATTTTCACGAGCTTTCTCGACGAATTTTGCTTCGATCTATTATTTTAGATGATTCGGATTTTCTTAGTATTCCCATGTCTGTTAAAGCAGCATTAACAAGAATTGCTGCGGCTCTGTCTGAAGCTCCTGTTCGGTCACAACCATGCATTTTTATGGGAAATTATGATACATATTGAAAAATAGAGAGTCGTTTGGGCAGCCAAAAACAAAGTCCGATTTTGTTCAAATTTTGCATAGTTAATTTGTATAACCAAAGGCAACTGTTTTGTATATCGGCTACGATTTTTCACTCCACGCTAGCCTATAACTTGAGATAGTAAAACTATTCATAAACGTAATTTAATATTAAAAATTTATTCGTTTGTTTCAGGTTAACAGTTGTCCTTCCATGCACAAGGAAATGTACTATAGAGGTAGGCACGATCACTTTAGTTTACTGTCAAGAAAATGCATTTTGCTAGTTTTCCGGAAATAAAATTATTGAAAAATTCATTAACAAAAATATTTCTGTGGGTAATTTTTTTCCCGTTAATTTTTGGTTAATTTAAAAGATTTCACAATTTTATAATTAAATAACCAACACGGCATATCGCAGGTAAATTGAGTTTGATGGAGCAATGCAATAGAAAATATTTTCTCCAACGAGACTAATGCTGTTGAATTGTTTAGAAGTTACAGCTACTACCTTCCCTTAATAGTTATGAATAAACCTTTGGTTTAAAGCGCGTGTACATATTTCGAATATTTACTAGTTAGATTTCAGATAAAAATAATTAAAACATTTTGCCCTTTGCATGGCGTTTATTTTATTATTATTAATCTATTGCATTCTTTTATTATTTTCAGCGAACAAGTGGTCACCGGGCGTAAAAGACCTTCACCAGTTCCACAGCATTCATCCTTACCACTGAACCGAATAAAAGAAGAGGCTGGGTGATTGAATAAGACAATTTTCGCATTTAAGTTTAATTTTAAAAATGTGCTGATTGCTGTCTCGTCGCTTAAATCTGCAAAGTTGTTTATCATCATTTTCTGTGGGATACACGTAATATATTTTGAAATATTATAAACGGTATATGTGAATGGTACAAAATATATTGAATAGAAAAAGAAGGAAGGAAAATGGTTGTTGAAGTTTAAATTATTTGATAATGAAACAAATATTATAATGTTTTCCCAAGCTTTACTGAGTAGTCGACAAAAATATTGAACTAGAAAAATCGAAGGATAGAAAATAAAGGAGCCAGAGTTTCATTACTTAATATTTTTACAGAATATTTCCACCATAATCGAAAAATAAATTGAAAATCACAAATAGGCTGCACGTACTTTAAAATTCTTAAATATAATTTACCATGATATTAAAATATGTGGAGTTCAAGAGTTGGTTCTGGAACTTCCATAAAAAACAGATTTCTTTCCATACTGCTTCAGCAGAAAAAAAAGGCGTTTTCTCTACTTGCGATGATTTTGGAAGTGAACTAAATCAGTTTTCTCTACCTAAAAAGAGACATCCATCGAAATTCTAAATTATATAGATGGTACCCGGAAATTATGAAGAAGAGCAAACTATGTGAAGAAATCACCTGAAAACTGCTACTGCTAATATTTTCAAATAGTTTAAAAATAACCAAATGACTTTTTGAAACCTTTTGATATTTGACATTTTATTTAAACCCTCTAAACAAAAAATTGCATTTTGTTGTTTGTTTGACGAGACTACCAAACAATTAAAATTATTTCTGTTATAAGATACTAGCAAGCATGATTTGTAAAATGTATTGAAGCAAAGTATCTTCCAATAGTTTTTTAGTCCATTACCATTTAGATGAGATTGATCGTTTAGTTCGACGGTTGTGTTTCGATTACTTATTTTATGAGTTACTAGGAATTTATTTTTACTCACTAACCCTTACTTAACTTAAGATGTTGTCGTTACTTTTGCAAACAATAATGTTTTTTACAATATTTTCGTTACCGCTATAACCTTCCTACGGTACTCAACAGCAAACAAGACTCCCCATATTCGCTTCACCTTTTTCCAGATCCCTTTTTTATAATCTTGATAAAAGCCTGAATGTTACAAATATGTTTGATTGATTTTGCAAACAAAACGTAGATCATTTTTTAAGGTGCGTGTGTCAATTAAGAAAAACTTAATAATAGCCGCCACAGAAAAGAAAGTCAGAATGACTTCTTATAAACTTACAGTTTTACATGGTCTTTCAATTAATAATAAACACATTGCACACTGTTATATAACTCCTTAAGTTGTCTTTTGGCCTGCTATAAATTTAATAAATGCCAAAAAGGTATTTATAAAAACCTTCGTGACCGATAAGAAACAAAAACTAAACAAAAAACCAATCGAATAATATTAATGTGCAAATTATAACCTAACTTTGCAATTATTATTTAAAAATCTGGATTTCTACTGTGAACTTCCTGACGTTTCGCCTGTCATTCGGTTGGCTTCTTCATTGATTACCTGACATAAACGAAGCGCATAAACATTGTCTCGAATAACTGATTCCCATATTGATAAAGGTAAAGATTTGAGTCGCGGTTAAGACTGAATCCGGTTTTTCTTTGGTAGAGAAATTGATCACATGCATTCACATTGATTTTGAGTGATTTTTGGACCAATGGTGAAAATTTTTTTAAACACTATATTTATTAAGAATTTTCGACTTATGACCAGGAATGTATTCAATTTAAGGAATGACTACAGTCTGTGGTTCTTCCTTTTACTCAAAACATTACTGACCACATATCAAAAGGTATTAAGAAATATAATTTCAAAACCAGACTTAGCATTTGACAAAATTCCGTTGGGAACGCATATGCAGCAAAGAGTACATTAGAGATAGAGGGCTAAAAATATCAACTAGTATAAAAGAACATGAAAGAGGCTTAAAATCTTATTTGATCAAACTAAAATTCTTGCATGTAAACAATTCTTTCGATGAAAAATCCTCCACTCAGATCTTTACGTTTCAGCAATATGGATTTGTGAGCAACTGAAACGGAGGATTTGTAATAAGTACTAGAGTGACCTGTGAAAATTTCTGTAAAAAATGTGTTCTATGTAACACTTGTTGTTTCTTGTGTGCCTATAAAAACTGATGTAACAGCTGAGATTTCTTTTAAACCTCGTAAAAATAAATACTAAACTACGAAAAATGTTAGAGGCGTTAGTTGTTAACTATACTGCGATCTTCTAACATAGTTGCGCGAGTTTTTTGATCAAATTCACCGAAGTAGAGGCACGTTCATCTGAAATATGTCTAGTTGCGGCAACAAATTTCCTCTTCCTTCTTTCTCTTATGTCTTGCCTGATGACTATTTTTTTAAGCAGAAGGAAAATACAAAAAAGGGTCTTGTTTACCTCTGACACTCAAAAAAATGTTGCAGAAGATTCTTGTAAATACGAGAAAACAACATTGAGATGTACATAAACATTGCTGTATATTTAAAATAGATTATTGCAGTTCACAACAATGTATAGTACGTTTATTATTAGTTGTTTTATAATATCATCGCGAAACGGTGCGGCGTACTGTAGATTGTGGTTTCTTATTGTATATAGAGGACACATTCGCTTTGAGTGTGACAAAATAACAATAATAAAAATATGTTCGGTAAAAAATAGCGAAACGTTATACTTAGAGACTTTTTATAGAAATTTGTGAGTTTATTTTTGTTAGTATCTAGTGTCAGATTGGATGTAAATGCTTCGAAAAACTTGTAAACAGATGTATTCGCTGTGCACTAGTGCGAATTTTTTTAAATTGGCTTTTATAAATTTTATATTGTTAAGTTAAACTGATAATTAAAAGTCTCAACGTCAAAGTCAGCAACATCTACTCCTTGCTATTTCCAAATTAACATTCGTTACGTTTAGTTAGTTACTGCACAGAGTTTTCTTAAACTGTATTATACATTTCCCTTTATGGGTTTTTAATTGAGTAAACAAGCCAATTTCTTTTCCGCGTAGGATAATGTTAGAACCATTGCTTAAATGATTTGGACGTTTCCAGGGCAAAGTCAATTTCATTGAAAAACATTGTTTAAATTAAGGAATTGTTTCATGTAATTTCATACGCAACAACATCGAGTATTTTGTAATCGCTTCCAAAACTAACCAAAATACTTGTAAGCAGCCTAATGAGACGCTTTTATAAATTTGTTGGGACATACCGTATTACGTTTACAAAAAGTATCCTGATGGCAATAATATAATTAAATATAATAAAAAGGAATAATTGAGGGGATTGTTTTACTTATCCCAAACAATGACACAAAATTGTATAGGACTTAATATTCGGATATTATTCTAAAATACCATTAAGTTGATAGGTACCGTGGAAAAATAATTTTGATTAATCATGTATTTGTGACCACTTGCTTAATATTGTCATTAAATCACACTACGTTTTGGAAATAGAGATTGTTTTTCTGCAACTCCTGCACTCAAATTCGTTGCAGAACGTTGTATTAGTATTTTAAAATTGTGCTTTGATCAAGACACTTTAAGAATTAACTTGGTATGAAGGTATAAGTTATGAAGATGAAACTACTCCGGTTGTATGGCCTTTACCTCCTTAAAACCTTAAATAATTTTATTATCCAAAATTGGGTTGAATTAAGTGTTAGGTGATAATAATGGATCCACATTTGAGATTTAACTTAGAGGTAAACTTCGCAGTTAAGAAAGTGCTATGCTTTCCGGATTTGTAAGATTTTCCATTCATGTGGGTTTTCCGAATGGTTAATATGAAGCAGTATCGTTAGGTGACTTCAGTTCCACATTGGTTCTTCTGGGATATTTCCTGGATCATATGATTTTCCATTTATTTTCATTGCACACATTTCGTACATCCTCCACTTTTAGTCTTATTAGTGCTTAATTAAAATCTAATATAATAATGATTTACATTGGCGCAAGAGAAAAAACAGATTCGAGTCAAGTAGACCACGTGTAAATTGATGCCCCATTTACAGCATATGTTGCCTCGAAAAATAAATTGTAAAAATGTGTATTAATGTTTAATAAGTAGAGCAATTATTAATCAAAAAATGTAGTGATTTTTAATATCATCGTCTGGACAAGTATAATAAGAAGAAAAATATATTCTCTATTCTCTTTATCAAAGCCAGATTTTTCTTACTTTGGTTAAACTGACAAGGCAGCTGGAAAAAGATGAAACCCACCCTCCATAGATTTGTGTGTAGAATGGGATTTAAATCCAGCGAAATATACAAAAACAAGTGGTATTGGAATCGCACAGACTGCACATTTGGAGATTTTATTACGAAATTAAATAGTATAGCTCAGATATCTAAAAACTGCCAGACGAAAGCATTTTGAAATAACAAAAAACGCATCGCCATAATTCTCACTGGGTCACAAGACCGATTTATTTCAAATGGTGTCATGTTGTCTGGGGGGAATATTAAGGATCCTAGGCAAGAATATTTGTTACGAAATATTTCCTTTTAATCCACTTACAAGGAAATGTAACTTTTGGAAGTGTCAACTTCAATGCTATTAAAAAACAATATGCATGTAATAGTTTTACTGAATTATTTGAATATCATTCGTATCATTCTATATCAGGTCAAGGTATCGAGGAAGTAACAAGTATAAAGGAGTATAAAAATGCCGCAAAAAAATTGTTTCAAACGAAAAGAAAATCCACGATGCAATGAAAGAAATATAATATAATAAATATGTAATGCACGTGGAAAATTATAAAATGGAATATATTTAGCTAGTATAGTCTTACTTTTTATGCGAGGTGACACACTATTCTCTTTTTCGGACCTGACAGCTTACACCAGCTTGCAACAATTAAATCTGAACATAGGCTTAGTAGTAGAACGTCTACAGAATATCTCTTACATTCATAAATAATAGTATATTAGTGTACAAGTGTGGTAAACCGTATTTGAGTCACGGGTGTTTAATAAACGAGTGACTAAAAAAGTTTACCAAATGTGTTGCATACTATACTTTTTCCACGACTTTTGGGTGCATTTTTGGTAAACAACAAACAGCATTCACTGACATGACCGTCAGAATTGACAAATGCGATATCTCCGAAAACATCCGAATGCTCCCCAATCCGTGCGGTAATATCCCGGAAATCTCCGAAGTGGCTCAAATCCTTGGGAAACGAGACCGACGCGATAATATAATATATAAATAGATGTTGTATATTTATGTATTCTACAGAAGGGGGTAGAAAAACCTATACTGTATTCTACTAATCTACACAATACCTTATATTAATTATTTTATAATTAATGTCAAGACTTTTATCAGTTACTAGAATTTGTGGCAAGGGAATTAGACAAAAATTTTTTGTTGTTGAGTTTTGAAATATTCAGAGTATCCCGCTATCATATTTTAAATTATTAGACACCTAAAATATTTAATTAAAAAATTATGGTATCAAAATCGCAAGTAGGCTGCGGATTATCATTTGCACCAGTTTTAGATTACCTTGAAGAAATCTTTCTTTTCTAATGACAATTTTATGGATATCTACGCACATCAAACCTACAATCTGTAGGTAGGACATATTGAAATCCGTTTTTCCTAGGCCCGGTATAAAAATTTCGATTTTTTAACCGAATTTATTTAAATTCTTCGCAAGCACCAGTACCGGGAATTTCTTTATTTATTTAATGCTCCGCTTCCCGGTCTTGATTTCATAAATTATTTATAAAGTGAAAACTTGATTAATGCGCTTTTTAAGAATTTTTAAGAAGGAAAGTTTGAGTGTTTCGCCGGCTTTTATGAATTTCAAAATGCCGAAATTGGTTTTCCGATTTGCGAAGCTACTTTGTAATTGCTTCAGGTCTTTATGATTTACTTAATTGTTAATCCGAACCTTAAAATACAGGCCACAGTATTTTTTCAATTTAAAACTATAATTGCCAAGAGCTTAATAATTAGCAAATTAACGCATTTAATACAGTGTATCCCACTTGAGAACTGTACATGGTTCGAATTTGATAATTTTTTTTAGTGCATGCAACAAAAAAAAAACAAAATCTAACTGTAAACAAAGATTTATATAAAGGTATCGATTTCTTAAGTGGGACACACTGCATCATTTAAGATGCTCCTATCCCTTATTTCAATAACTACGACGCTGAGGAAAACAGGTTCAATACAAAAGGTGTTGGACCCTAAGTATTACGTTGTTCCAGGGCAATAACCAACTTTGTTTTTGTAAATGAACTGCTATAAATATTTCTAATTATTATCATTACACAATTTGGAGCAGTTTTTGAGAAATATGAACTTTTCATTTTTTTGCGGAAAAACAGATCTTTGGAAAAACTTGAAAACTAAAATTGGGAATTTTTATTATGGAACCATAGAAGTAATACTTTGACCCATATATGGCGAATATATACTATACAGTGCGGTCACAAATAGTCATCAAAAAATGTATTTTCTAATTAAAAAGCACTTTCTTTTAAATTTAGCACTTTTATTGGGTATGGGATTTAATTCTATATCATTTCATATATAGCTTTTATTATAAAAATTGGTAGTTTAGAAGTTATGGATAATCTTCTGTTGGTTATTTTATTTTTGTTTTTTTTTTTAATCTAACTAAACCTATATAATATCATATTCCAACTAAGTTTTTTTAAATTAATTACTTAAATTCAATATAAAATTAACAAATAATGCAAGTACATTTAACTTATTACTAGTTACAAAATATTTTCTACATAACCTCCATTTTTGGCAATAGAGGTGGTATATATGGTTTCAATTTTTGCAATGGCATTTCTAACCGCGTCTGTTGCTTTCTACCCCTGACCGAATTGTCATTTTTAAGACTTTATCAATATTACACCTATTCTTATACACTTCCTTATTAAAAAAAAGTCCACGGGTGTCAAGTCAGGGCTCCTCTCTGGCCAATGAATGGTCCTGCATCCAAAATGGAAAACGTTGATTGAAAACGACTTGTAATTAGTAATAAGTTCTACTTATTTGCATTACTTGTTGCGCTATCAATTTTTATATTAGAAACTATATATGGAAATGATAGAATTAAATAAATAAAATTTTCTAATTGAATGTAAATAATTCAGGCGGCGACTTTTGCATCCATTTTAAAAAGAAAACTTCAATGAACATATGTCCTAAATCTCTATCTTAACCTTTCAGATACAGGGAGGTAAGATTTTCAAAAATAAAATACATTTTTTAATATATGTAATAGAACAACAGAGAAATGAGTTTTTATTTTTAAGTGAAAACCGTGCGATGGACTAAAAAAATTAAGAGATCAAATCTGCTCGTAAATGACTGTCCATGAACGTATAATATTTTAGTTAATTATGTCGCCACTGCGCACTTGGTATTGTACTTCGATTTTTTTATGTATTTTAATATAATAGATAGTCAATTACTTAAATAATAAACAATAATGATAATAATTCTCTGCATGCCGTCATATTAACGATATTACTATGATCATGCAGAGGAGAGGTGTTAATTTTTTTAAGCGAAAACCGTACATTGAAATACGTACGAATTAAAAAAAAAACAAGAAATTGTAAGAATAATTTTTATTTTAAGAGAAATCATGTGTATTTTAAAAAAATTGTAATACACTTAATAGTGCCTCTCGATACATAGTACATGTGTAGCAAATTTCATTCAAATATCTAAAGTGGTATTACTGATATTAAAAAAAATATATATTTTATTTTTGAAAATTTTACCACCCTGTTTCTCAAAAGTTAAGACGTTTAATACATATTTTCACAAACACCAACATAGGCTTTCGGAGAATTCGATAAATATATTTCGACCTACCGAAGTCGTCTTTGACGTCGCATTCAAAATAAATAAAATATGTCTAAAGAGTCCGGATAATTTAAAAATGTCTTAAAACACAAGCTGTTCTATTTAAAATAAGAAAGTTGTTACTTAATCACGAAAATACAAATTCCCTGTATATATAGCAGTGTAATATTTTAAAAGCGTAAGTCAAACTTTTCTCTGTAAGTTTTTTGATATCACTCCATAATAAACTGATCGCCCTGTAGAATACACTATCAATTATTTGCAATTAGGATAAAAAAAATGTTAAATCCAAATATTCTAAATAAATGAAATTTGGTTAGTAAATACGGTTTCACATATTTTTTGTGCACTGATAAACAACTAAATTTTTCTTAGTTTTCTCCATCCAAAAACATTATCATACATAGCCGTCTTCAGGTTGTAAATAACGAACAA